CAAGTTATGGGTAAATTCTACTTATCTTGTAAATTTGAAACAAACTGAACGGTTTGATCAATAGTGATGATTTTCTAAAGTTCAGGGCGAGAAAACCCTTCGCGGGAAAAATATATTTTGAAGGGATTTTGTTATATTTGGAGTTTTATACAAAAATAAAGGAGTTTTTGGAAGCTAAGAAAAGAAACATGTAAAGGTTTAAGGTACACTCTCTACAACTAGATACCCAGTGTATTCCCAGATAGCAAATCACGCCATACGACACATTATACATGGTGACTGGACTAGAAGCGCCTTTTAGATAATGACGCCATTCTTGAAAAGAGTCTACAATTGCAAGAAGTTCTTTGTCGTGGATCTCATAATTAATTTTTGCTACTGAGAATTTTCTTGAATGAAAGGCTACTGGATGAAATTTGTCATCTGTTCCCATTTGTGATAAAATCGCACCCAGAGCAAAGTTTGATGCATCTGTTTTAATAAAGAATGCTTTGGAAAAATCAACACGATATAAGATTGGTGCAGAAACAAACGTTGTCTTCAAAGATTCAAAAGCAACTTCCGCTTCTTGTTTCTATTGGAGTTTGTCTTTACAAGTCAAACATGTAAGTGGAGCTGCAACTCGAGAGAAGTCTTTGATAAAGATCCGATAGTAGTTGGCGAATCCCAAAAAACATTGGACATCTCTTACCGTTTTTGGGATCTTCCAATCTATAATAGTTTGAACTTACTTAGGATCCATCATAAGTCCATCATTTGAAATGATGTAACCTAAGAAATCGACTTGAGTAGTGTGGAATACACACTTTTCTATCTTGGCATAGAGTCCTGCATCTCTTAATTTTTGTAACACACGATGAACATGAAGTTCATGTTCTTCTGGATTCTTAGAATAGATCAAGATGTCATCTAGATAACAGACTACAAAATCGTCCAAAAACTCTCAAAAAACATCATTCATTAGATGTTGAAAAGCTACTCATGCATTTGTAAGTCCAAAAGGTATGACGTTGTATTCAAAATGTCCATACCTAGTTCGAAATGCAGTCTTCCATTTATCTCCATCTTTGATGTGTACTAAATTGTATGCTCCCCGAAGATCTATTTTTGTACAGATCTTAGCTTAATTCAGCTGATCAAGAAATCCAGATATTAAAGGTAGTGGATACCTGTTCTTGATGGTAATCTTGTTGAGTCCTCGATAATCAACACACATCCGCAATGATCCATCTTTTTTCTTCACAAATAGAATTGGAGCTCCTGCCGGAGATTTAGAATGGCGTATGAAATTCTTGGCTAGATTTTCTTCAATATACTCCTTGAGTTCAGCCAACTCATTTTGTGATAAACTGTAGATTGGTCTGAATGGCAGTTGTGTTCCTTCTTGAAGGTCAATTGAGCAATCATAGGGACGATGTTCCGAGAGTGTATCCACATTCTTTTTTTCAAATACATCTTGAAATTCTTGATATTGGCTTAGAATGCCACTTAAAGTCTTTTCACCAATAAAAACGGGTGTGGCATAAATAATATATGGTGATTCTTTTATAGCAGCATGTAAGAAATCTTTTGCACCTATAAATACGGATTTAATTGAAGTGGACTTATGACTCTCTACTTGATTAACTACATTGTTAATTATACTTTTAGAAAAAGTAAGAGTTCGAGAAATCCAATTTATTTGAGGGTTGTATTTTTCTAACCACAATAAATCTAAAATGACTGGATTAGAGGGAGATCTAATGATATTAAATACTACAAAACTACTATGACCATTGATTATTACTTCTATAGGAAGGGTTTCGTGAGTAATATCTCCAGAAGACAATGGACGACCATCTATGACTTCTACATGAACAGGTTTAGTTTTCTTTACTAAAGATATGTTATGTCTTTTAATAAATTCTTCATCTAGAAAACACACTGAGGCTCCTAAATCTAACAAGGCAGAGACTTTGTAATGTTTAGGTCCTAAAATAATATTTAATGTAAAACAATGAGAGGGCTTTGAGGAGAGAATAGGACCTTTACTAGATGTTGTACAAGGTTCCAACCGCACGGTCCCTATTATAGCTGGACAAGCTTATTTTCGGACATGTTTTCTTTTTTCATAGCCATACTCCTCATTTTATGATTGCGTCGTTTCTTTGGACAATGTTGAGTAGTGTGCTTTGGTTCTCCATAATATAAACATAATCCTTCTTGACGATGACGAGTCTTTTCTTACTCAATAAGAGGTTTGAAACGTACTGCATCAATTTGCATATCATCTACTTCCGAATGTATGTGTTGAAGAGGTGTTGGTGTTGCCATTGAATTATAGTAACGTTGAGGTCCACTTGTACGGTTCTCAGATCAGAATTCAAAAAGGCGATTGTCGCACTTCACAGCAAAGTCAATTGCTTGACTCAATGTTTGAGGATCAGATAAGTTGAGCATTAATTTTTTTACCTCATATTATAATCTGTAGAAAAATTGGCTAATAAGTGCAGCATCATTCCACTTAATATTAGTTGCAACTTATCAAAATTATGAAGCATGTAATATTACTGATCGATTGCCTTGTCGTAAAATACGTATTCTTATTGGTTGCAACACGAATTACATCATGTTCTCCATACATGGATCGAAACTTCACCAAAAAAACCTCTAGATTATCCAATATTGGATCTCGTCATTCAAGAAAAGATGAAAACTACGATAGTGCTGAACCTGAAAGAAGCGTACCAATGAATCTAAGTTGCAATCCTGGAGTTGGATAGCTTTGGGGTTGAAGTTCAATCACAAGTTGTACTTGATTGATAAATCCTCGAAACTTAGATCTGGTGCCATCAAACTTCTCGGGTAGGGCAATTCTTGGTTCTCTAACATTTGAAAGGTGTTCGACCATAAGACAAAGGACATGGTTTGGTGCAGATGTTAAAGCAGCTCCAACCATTTCTATATCTTCACTTCCTGCCAATCTTATTATTCCTTGTGGTGGTAAATTGAGTTGATGCATCGCAAGCATTAACTCCCTCAATTGCTCTTACATTTGTGCCATTGCACTCTTTATTTCAAGAAGTTCTGCCACGATAACACTTAGAAGAGAGAAGATATCTAATATCGCTCAAGACAAATAGAAGAGAGGACTTGAGAACAAAGAAAATACTAAAGACAATATCAGTTTAGAAGAGGGTAATCCGTAACTTCTAATATGCTTATATCTTATCAAGAAAAAGGGGTAATCCATTCTTAATCAAGATTAGACAAAGCTCTGATATTATAGGTGTACTCTTGTCAATCTGTCAAGGACAAGAACTCGATGAAAAAATAATTCAGTCAAGTGAGCCTTCACTCAAAGAGAGGTAACAAAATATATATAAACAAGTATATATATTGAAAGAGAAACTAGAATGGCTATTGCCAAAAGACAAGAAAACTAGAGACCCTTGAAACTAGACTAGAAGCAAGAAAGGAGTTGACAAGAGTGAAGAAGTCTTCACTCTTCACTCTATATATACTATCTAACTAAGGGCTACGTGGCGACGTTCTATAGGACCTCCAATATGTGTTGACTTTATAAGATACATGCCTTGACTTACAGGGCAAGTTTTTCTATGTGTGGGCTACATAGTTAGCTTGATCTTCAAGCTAACAACATGTGTGGCACATGGCCAACTTGTTGACGACGTTTCTAATCCAAAAAGTTAATTAAAGATACCTATGAAGTCAAAGCAGCATCTATGAAGCTTCTAGGAAGCTTTCATTTTAAATACTATAGAATTAACTACTTTTACCTACTTTTACTTACTTCTACCTATTTGTATATGTAATTACTAGCTTACATGATTATGTCCGTTACATAAATACTTAGTAATCATTTTAAGCAATGGCAAGCAATTTGTTTTAATTACTACCACTATATCAATCAAATAATCTTTTTTAGCTTTCATAGCCAAATCAATTTTTTAAAGTTCTCTTTTGAATTATAAATATGCATGTTGATAAGTACTTAAAATTTTATTTCTAAATTAAATTGCAAATTTTTTTCTACTCAAATCATCTTGACCCACATTCCATCTGATAGCAATAAGACTAGCATCTATAGTAAGTATCATTTTTCTATTACACTCATAATCAATTCTTCTTAAAATTGGAGATATCAATAATCACACTTTTAGCTTTTTCATTACTTGAGTATGCTTTCTTTTCCATTTAAATCAATAATTTTTATATAATAATTCATATAATAGATTTGTTACATAAACATAATGAAAAATCTATATATAATAAAATATACAAGCATCTAAAAGCTTGTGTACTATTATTAAAAAGTCACATATATCTTTCATCCTTTCAATTGCATCAACTTTGCTTGGATCTGGTTCTCTCTCATAAAATCTACACAAATATTCAATAATAGCAACTTTTTTATACTCTTAATGTAGATTTTTCTTCTAAAAGTATTGATAACTTAGAGGCAAACTTCTCATTAAGATAAGAATTTCCTCATTATTTGGAATTATTGATCCTATTGCTAGCAATTGTTTCAAATGTGCTTTAAATATATGTATGTGTTTAATAACACTATCACCTTTTCTCATCTTTAAGATGTATAAATTATCGTTTAGATACATTTTTATTATGGCATCTTATAATTCAAATATTCTTATTACTTTTTACTAATTTTTACCATGCTAAATGTTTCAAGAACTTCAAGTTCTTCATCAACCTTTCTTATTATAATGGATTGTTTCATTGCTATCATTACAATCTACTTTGTAATTTCAGCATTTCATTTCTACATAAAGCATTTATCTACACATGCATTTATGGATCAAATATTTCTACAGCTCTAATATCATGTTGGAAACATCTTACTTTATGTATCATGTGATCAAACAGTACATACTATACATGTGTGTACGAGTCTGATTGAGAGTCACAACTCTTGGCTTAGAGTCACTCAGGCGCTCCGCCTCCAGTTGTCAGAAGCGCAACATTCATCAACCTTCCAGCAGGTGGAGAACTAATCAGATCGACAACCATTCACACTTCGCAGTTCAGTGGCCTGCCTCTGCTGTATCTCGCATTATCTTCAGTCTTCGCGCGATTTCGGAAGCCGATTGATTACATCTCGTATTCGCCAGTAGAACAGGACAATGGCCGCCACGATGTCTCAGATGTCTGCTGCTGCTCCCATGGCCGGCGGTCTCATGGCCCTGACTCCATCCTCCACGAAGCTGTCCAGCGCTGCTTCCCGTGTGGTGGCCCGACCCAGACTGGGCGCGTCGCTGGCGGGGCGAGTTCGATGCGAGGCGGGCAAGGGCCTGCGGGAGACCATCGATGAGAGCACGAAGAAGGAAATCACGGAGGGCGAGATCCTGAAGAACATGGAGACCAACGAGTCCGAGCAGCGCTCCTACTTCGGCGCCAAGCCCACTCCCGGGTTCGACCAGGCAGTGGGGTTCACCCCCCGCCCGGAGATCGAGAGGCGGCCCGAGACCAGCGACAAGTCCTTCTTCAGCGTGTTCGCGTTCGACGGGGCCGCCCCGGAGACCATCAACTGCCGACTGGCGATGTTGGGCATGGTGTGGGCGTTCTTCGCGGAGAAGGCGACGGGGCTGACAGTAGCACAGCAGCTATTCAACCCCACCACAAGCGGGCTTGTGTATTTCGTGGGCGCGGTGCAGTTATTCACGTACGCATCGCTGGTGCCGATCATGAACGGCGAGTCGACGGATGCTCGCAGCTTCGGGCCGTTCACGGCGCGAGCTGAGCGATGGAACGGGCGTCTAGCAATGCTAGGATTCCTGTCGCTAGTGGTCACGGAGCTGATCCGCGGAGCTCCCGTGTTCCACTAAATGGATGCACATATGTCGGTAGGCGTGGAGAGAACAAAGGCAGTGAATTGCATCGCCGTGGGGTGGCTGCGTGTGTATGATACGGTGCCGAAGTTGTGGAATTGAGTGTACAGTTTGGAGCTAGGATGAGAGAGAGAGAGCTCAGGGATAGGTATGTGGGAGGCGAGGAGGATCGGTTTTGAAGGACCATGGAAGGATGTACAGTGTATTGTTGAGATGACGACGAGTGTGAGTAATTGGAGATGATGATTTTGAGAAACATGGTTTGTGTGAAGTGCGGATGTGCATGCAGTGGTGGTGTCAGTGCGGCGATCGTCGTGTGAATGGGGTTTCAGCTTTGCTTCATGAATGGTTGGATTTCAGGGCCTCGGAGGGGACGGCCATCGTGCGGCGTGAGGGTGCGCGGATGTTTGAAAGACAATGCAGTGAATGGGAAACGGAGTTGAGTCGAATTGAGTTGTGTCTTAGCAGCGTGGTGGGTGTGTGAAATGAAATGTGTAGTGATGTGAGTTTAATAGTGTGTTTTGATTTGCTGCATTGAGAGTGTTTGAATAGTAGACGTATTCTTTTTTGCAGTTGAGTGTTGTATGAATTTTGTTTTTTTAATGTAATTTAATATAATAGTTATATATAAAAAATATAATAATCTAAATAATATAATAATAATATTAATATATTAAAAAAATATTATTGATATAATAGTTATTGATTTATTTATAAATCATGGTTTAAAATATTAATATAATAGAAAGCTTAAAGTGCCAAAAATTGATTATATGACTTTAAAATATAAGAATTCTTGTCCAAACAAATTATTATTAACATCCTTAGAATAGCCAAAATATCATAATAGTTTATATGATTTGTACTAATAACATATAACTATTATATATTACCTAAATTAAAATCATTTGTAAAAAAATTGAATAAAATTTTATACAAATCAAATTTAGTGGCAAAATTTTGACAAATAATTTAGTCATCTTTGAAAAGATTTAAAAAAAATAAATAAGCCTTTTTTAATATATGAATTAATTTTATTCAATGTTATTGGAAGAGGTTTGATTAATTTTTTATTTTTTATTGGTTTCTTGCATCACATGATCTACCAACAAGTATTATTATTTATAAAGAAGAATCTTAAAAATAATGTATGTAGAATAAATAAAAAATATTTTATTGTTTAATATTCTTATGAAAGATCTTTTCAAATAGAATTTTATTATTGGTTGTAATTTTTATTATTTTTTAAAAATAAATTATAAAAATCATTTTTTACTTATTTATGATAAAATATATTTATTTTGAAAGAATCAAAATTTGGATAAAAAATTAAATAAAAATTTAGAAACTTCACATAATATATCTTGTTTAATATGTCTTCTTAAACTTATATCTATTTTGTTCCAATAGTGTTGATCTATTACTTAATTAACTCACTTTATAATAAAAACTTTACTTTTTATGAATAGTATATTTTTAATTATAAGTATATTATTAGTTAGATATATATTTTTTATTATATTAAATTTTATTATATTATGTTATATTTAATTTATTTTTATATCTTTTATACTCTTATCTTTCTTTATTTTTTAATTTGTCAAATTTAGTTGTTATTTTTTTATTGCAAATACCTTTTCTTTGTTATGTTGGTGTTAGTTCTTTATAAGAACCTTAGCTTAATAGTATTGGTATTGATTCTTAATCAATCCAATGTATTTTTAATGTTGATTGCTACTCATAAAATTCAATTAAGTTATGTTTCTATATCTAATATGATTTTAGATATTTTCATTGTCTTAACCTCAAGACTAACATAAACCGTTATTTGATCAATTTTAAAATGCATTTGATTATAGCCAAGGCTAATTCATTGATTCAAGCATTGGCTACTTATACTCAACACTTTGATCCTACTCTACATTCTTCTAACTTATGTGGGAGCTATTCACGGGCTTAGATTTATGGTTGTTGCTCTTAGCATCTATTCCATCAATTATTTATGTTTGTTTATGTATTTTCTTATTTTATGGATCCATTATTTACTTCTTTAGTACAAACAATATATAAGTTAGGACATTTTGATCACACTTGGAGTAGAAGATAACTACAACAACTCAAATGTCCATTATCTAATAACAAACAAAATGCATAATTTTTATAGACTAATCAAAGCATGCAAATTTCGCCACACAACATTCATCCAAATTGGCATGAAAATATTGGCATGAAAATATTCAGCTGCCTTAAATAATTTAAGAAGCAATCATCAGTAACAATTGTTTTAGAGAAAAATTTGCTACTTTTATAAAGAACTTAGACATATACAAAGACATTGTCTATTGGACAAACTTGCTAATAAAGAAACAAAATTTCAAGTTGGTCAATATAATAGACGACCTATAAATTCACATCTATTAAGCAAAGAATTCCTTAAGGTAAGAAAGCACAAGCAAGTTATAAACAATCAATACTTATCTTGAAAAGAACATAGATTTTAGATCCAAGAAAATTAAAAGAAATGTAGATCTAAGAATCACTACAAATTTGAGATGTAGCTCAATTGATGCCACTCTAATATAGGACCTACAACAAAAATCTTAATAAAATATAATAACTCTTTAACTAATTCAAAGAGCTAATTGCAACTTTAATGAAGCCATTTATAAAATGCATGTACTTACTACATACCTCAATCTCAAAGAAGAATGGAAAATATCTTTGGAATAAGAAAACATTGCATAGAGAATAAAGAACTTCAAACCCCAAAGCCTTAAGAATATGAGTAGCAAACTATATGATAAAACAACAACTAATCAATTTGATCACAAATGATGAGTTACTGTCCTCTAGTGGAAGTGTTGGATATATATATATATATATATATGTATATTTATATTTAATATGAGTATAATACACTAGTTGAACAATTGTGGTACAAAGAGTTGTGACTTTAGATTCTTAGGCAATTGAACTATATATATATATATAGCTAGAGAGAGAGAGAGAGAGCTGTAGGTATTATTATCAATGCAATTAAAGTCTTACTCTATATTATATTATTCGTTCTCTTATAAATTCTTTGCGTATCACTGACACCGAATCGGTCCTCAAAGCGTTGGTGTCCATATGCATGATCCAAATCGCCACATCCACATTATCAATAACAAGACAAAACACAGAATCAGTCTTTGTATTTACATTCGTCTCTTAAGCTGGGCTGCCGTCCAGCATAATCAGCCGCGACAGGATCCCTCCTGATCGACTAGTCGTCGTTGTGTTGCAATCTGATCCGACGCTTCCATTGTCTATATTTTAGCAGTCGTACGAGAGCCGGGAGTCGCCGCCGAGGCAGCACAGATCGACCTCTAAAATTGCCCACCAAGCAAATCAAGACAGTCAGTCAGTCAGTCGCAATCGTAGTCACGGCTCCGAACCCAGATCGATCGCGCCGGTTTCTAGAACCCACCCGATCTGCGGCGGAGGGCCAAGATCATGACGTGGCTGGCAGAGCCCCTGCATAGGAAACATGAATTCTTGGAAATCGGAGTCCTTCGATGTTCTCTCACGGCACATTGATGCAGGCTCTCCTGATGTTGGAGCCGTCCAAGCAAGAGGTCCGATGGCGTGGCGAGAGCCATCATCGCCGCCACAAAATGTCACGGAAAGGGTGCTGTGCACGGATGTGATCGCAACCGCGCGAAATCGGGGGTCGCTTGATTTTTATCTTTATTCTCTTTATGTTGTTTTTTTTATTCTTTTGTATTCGATGTGCTTCTTCAGGTTGATCGGTTGTGTTATTTGTTTGCTCCAGCAATTTTTCTGTCGTTTCATTGTCATGCTGTGACTGCTCTGTTTGACGGTGGCGCTCATGGTGTAGTCGTCGTGCGGTGCTGTCACATTCGGGTACTGTTTCATGTCTAGGAATACTCAGACTTGCGAACGAGTTGTGGTGGTGGAGTTTGTTTAGCTCTTTTGTACTTGGTCTATTTTTTCTTCAGTTTGGATAGGCAGCGCGGTCCTAGTTTAATAGTGGTACTAGATTCGGTGCATTTCTGTTCAATTCGGGGAGGGAATGTGGGCGGAATCGAAAGGATTCTAGCTGGGATTTCGGTGAATTGTGGGTTACTGTTGAGAGTAGAGCCTTGAATTGAAGTGAGTGATGACAGAAAGTATGGCACAAGATGTGCCGCACAATTGTGGTTTATATGGCGGAGAGAGTTATGGAGATGGAGAGTTGGTTTTTGCTTACTATGTTACCGGGCATGGATTCGGTCATGCAACCCGTGTGGTTGAGGTACGTGCTTCGTCCTGCATCTACTAGCATAATTTTGTCAGTTTTCGAGTGGAATTCTCCTCGATCTGGAACTCAACTTCAGATTTGTATTGTGTGGCAATGGCAATGGCAATGTCCAGGTTGCAAGGCACCTGTGCGCCGCAGGGCATGAGGTGTACATCGTGACAGGGGCTCCGGAGTTTGTTTTCAAACGAGACATTCCATCCTCAAGACTCCATATTCGGAAGGTGAATAGCTTGGATCATTGTTAGAAACGCTAGTGACGAGCTTCCTTCGTGGAATACGCATTGTAGAGGTTTGAGGTTTAAGGTGCGGTTATGAATGATAACTTGTTGCGATTGAGTTCAGAGCTAGATTGATTTTCTAGACTCGGGGAGATAGTCTGTGATCGTAAGATACACAATGAATTGGAAACGTTATAGGTAACGTCTAAATTATCTCGCGAATATACAGCTCGTTCATCTTCTCTAGAACATCAATGTTATCAAACAACCCATATCTTTTCGCAATTTCCAGTGCATTCTTGATCGCATCGATAATTCTTTCAAGAATCAGAGCGTGAGAACACATTTTTGTTTTAACGTTTTCCAGGTTTTGCTGGATAGCGGAGCTGTGCAGTCCGATGCTCTTACAGTTGATTGCCAGGCATCACTAGAACAGGTAACAGAATCGTAACAATGAATTTTCCAAATGTTTGAGGCATTAGACTCAATTGGAGCAGCCTTAGCCCTTACACGATGGATGCAGAAATATGGTGAGGAATTGGAATCTTGATAACAATTTTTTCTGTGGGCAGTACTACCGGACAGCAGTTGAGAATCGTGAGGTCCTGTTAGCTCTGGAAGTGGACTGGCTGAAGTCTATCAGAGCCAATCTCGTGGTAATTGCTCAACACCCATTTCAGATACCAAAAATACTACGCGAATTTGAATGTATTATAATCAGGGCATGGTCTATATTATGAGTATCTGCATGAATTTCACCACAGAACTTCAGTGACTCATAGTATCAGAATAGATTTTAAACGGATATTGTTGATGAGACAGAATCTTAAAAGCAAGTATACCAGAGCCTTTACATCACCGTTATTCATGTTTGTGAAGATTACGATTTAATGATGTGTAGGAGTATTTTCTAACAACTTGAGCAGGTATCCGACATCGTTCCAATTGCGTGTCGAGCGGCTGCTCGAGCAGGCGTTCCTTCCATCTGTGTCAGCAACTTTAGGTGGCTGCCTCTATCCAGCGTTTGTAATCGGTTTCCTTAAACTTGAATTCTTTAGACTCCAAAATGAGTCATTCGATCATGTGTTTCATGTAATTCAATTATACCCAACCTTCATGTGATGTATCTCGCTTAAAAAACACTGCTTGAGGCCAGTAAACCTCATATTTGCAAGATTCAGAGTATTTTTCGACCACTTACCAACTGCAATAGGTTTCATGAGCGACTGCATCCTAATTTTTCGTAATACAGCTGGGATTTCATATATTCTGAGTATGTCACCGTCGCTGGGAAGCATCACCAATCCATTGTTTGGCAGGTCTGTGGCCTTACCTCTTGGCTTTAGTTTCGAATAGGTTCTAAATGTGTGTTGTCATTTGCCGTGTTTTATCACTGCTATTACTGCTTTCGTATCCTGTAGAGAAAACAAGGATTTTTTGTGCTTCAAGTGCTGGAAAATCGGTGTTCTTTTCGATTTGGTCTCGTTGTATCGTAAGCTTAGAATTTACAACAGCCGTCTTCTGCACTGTCATTATGCAGATTGCTGAAGACTACTCGAACGCCCTCTTTTTGATTCGCCTTCCAGGCTACAGTCCTAGTATGTGTTACAAACTCGCTATCCAATAAATTTGATCTTTACGTAGATGCATGAAATGCTCTGTGGCGTTCATTAGATCTCTGGTGATACCAAACGTAGTGCACTAGAATGACCCAAAAAATTGGCAATTATGCAGTGCCGGCATTTCGAGACGTAATTGATGTGCCTCTAGTGGTTCGAACTGCACGAAGGAGTCGCCAACAGGTGTTTACACATGGCCACCACGAACACCGTTGGATAACAGAAAGGATGAGTAGGATTTTGTAGATCGACCTTTAGATGTGCCTAAACACGATTCCCCATACCTGAAATTCAGAGACAACTGCTTGAAGTTAAACGGCACATTTGGGTGTGACAGGTTCGCAAGGACCTCGGAGTTGATGAAGTTGTGAAAGTGCTCCTCCTTAATTTCGGTGGTCAGGTATTCTGAATTTCAAGTTTGAGTTATCTGCAACAGTTTTCAACATTGTCATGTTGGAGGAAACGATGTATTAGAAAGAGTAGCTTCATTTCCTGGAAGCAAGAGTGGAAGGTTGTAGATCAGATCGCTTGTGTCCATAGTTCAATATGTCGTGCTGAATTTGATATTCATCGCTTTCGATGTGGAACAGGACGCGAGGTGGTCACTAAAGAACGAAAACTTGCCACCAGGCTGGCTATGCTGGGTATGGCTGCAGGCTCATTGATTTGCCATTAACAAAAGGCCTTTCTGCTATTAAATGATCAGTTCAAGTAGAGATCTGATGTGTGACGAATGATCTTTTTAAAGTCCTGCAATGGTCTTGTGGGAAGGTCTGTGGTGCACCTGCGGAGCAAGAGCTGGGCAACAAATTCATGCGCATGGACCGCGATAGTTATGTCCCAGATCTCCTAGCTGCCAGTGACTGCATGCTTGGTACGACACTGATCAACACTCTCCTGATTCCATGATCTGTTTTGAGAACTGTTGAGCATGAAAGTGTTAATACCCCACTGTACCTTGTTCGATACAAAAAAATTTATGCTTTTCAAGGCTTATCTAACCTGGGATTCTCTTCGCTTGTTTGATCGAGCTCAAAATACCACTGTTTATTGTGAAAGTTTGAATATTTCACTGACAAGACCCTTTGCAGGCAAGATTGGATATGGAACATTCAGTGAGGCGCTGTCATGTAAGAAGGCGTTTATATTTGTTCGACGTGATCATTTTAACGAGGAGCCCTTTTTAAGGAAGATGCTTGAGGTGCAGCTCACCCTCATTTAGCGCAAACTACGATCGTCGTTTCGGCATTCTTGTCCGTCTTCCACGAGAATTAATTTCGATCCTTTGAGAAAAATTCCATAATAATCCTTGATGATGACGGTTTAAAACTGAACAGCAATGACTGTGGTCTAGCAATCGAAACAATTTTACTATCATTTCATCCCGTACAAACTGCACGCTTATCAGAAAACTTAATTGTTGGTGACTAAATCTTCCTACCCAATGCAAGCAACTGATCCTATGAAAGAGTCCGACTTCTCGTGAAGGGCTCAACGTCACAGATCAAGGATTCTTCAACGCAAGCCTAGTTGTAGGACTAATGATCTTCAGTGTGCAGTTAAACCGTGGAGGCGTGGAAATGAATAGGCGTGATTTTTTGAGTGGACGCTGGGGGCCATACCTCGAGCGTGCGCTAGTTATCAAACCCACCTATGCTGGCTCATTGGATGGAGGAAAGGTTGGTGATTCGAATAGCTTTTGCAAAAACATGCTTTTGAACGCATGACCATATCACATCAAAATAGCTTCTGGAATACAACGTACCATGAGAACTGCTTAGGATTTGCAGATTTACGAGCTTGACACCTCTCACACAATGCTGTCCTTGCTTGGAGCAGGTTGCCGCAACTCTGTTGAAGAACGCTGCTCGGGGCGAAGCTTACACCATAAAACCAGTAAGGTTTCAGTTCTTGCCAATGCTGTTACTGGTTTTACGTTGCGAAGATTGCAAACTGGCCCAAGCCGCCAAACGTCATGTGTGTATTTCCTTTCAAGAAACCTTGCAACACACAGTTGGTGCATCCAATACAAGCTTTTCACGTGCGTACACTTTCGCTTGTTGAAGGATCTCCAGCAAAGTGGAGCTCGGCGATTGAGGGATGCCATTATCTTTGGATTTCAGCTGCAAGCGCATCCTGGTCGGGTGGATGACATTCCAGACTGGTATGTACCGAGTCGAACACGGCTAGATTTACTCCCAGAAGTAAAAACAAACGACATCGAGGTTCTCAAGCAACAAAATGGTCCTCTAACCAGGGAAATGTGAGTATTCTTGTTTCCTCCGCTTACAGTACTGATCTAGCTATGTCCTATTTCATCATCGGCACTTTCTAAGTTTCCATGGAGCTCGTCCAACTGTTTGAGTTCATGAATCAGATGTCTGCATGAGCCGCGTTTGAGCAGTCAAACTTTTCAGAGCATGAAGCTAAAGTTCTGTGCAGTTATGAGAATCCAACCCGTTGAGTCCTTGTTTACCGTTATTCTCATCACAACAAAACTTTAGGGCTTCACAGCATTAATCATCCATTTTTATCTTCAGTAAATGCAGATGGCTGTTTATCAACTTATTCTTCACTCTGTTGTGCAGACAAGTAGATGACTTCGATATACTTGAGGGAGATCTTCATGGACTTGCAGACACGGCACTTTTCCTTCGCACTTTGGCGAGATTAGATGAAGAGGGAGATGTTCGAGCCAGCGATCTCGCTGAAAAGCCGCAAGAACGAGAGCGTTTGGCCGCAGGAGGTTTGTTTCGCTGGGAGGTGAGGCGATCATTGTCATTAAGCCGCTTTTACATGCATTTAGTTTTGACGCTGTCTCCATTTCTCAGAATTGAAGCTGGACTCCCACGAAACCTATCAAAGTTTGGAATCCTTAACCATATGTTTCCAAAATATCCTTATCTTGTACTTAAAATCTCGACACCCATGATCGGTGAAGTATCCCTACCCAACCGCTTGAAGTAACGTCTTGGACAAAAAGTGGGTTTGGAGGTCAACCTCTAAGTAAAGATCCTCGAAGTGGTGTGTTTGTACAGGATGATGTAGTTGTGGCCAGAGCGCCAGGGAGACTGGATGTCATGGGTGGCATTGCAGATTATTCTGGTAGCTTGGTTCTTCAGGTATGCTATTCACCCTCACCCCTAGTTCCACTTTATTTAGGAAGGGCGTTCAATCTTCTAATTTCAGTATCGGCTACACACCGAATCGTGGAAGCTGAAGCTTTTGTGAGATTGTTTCCATTTTAAACAGACTTCCAATAAATTTTCCAGCTTTGTCTGTCTTCAATGTTGCCGCGGTAGCTTCTTGTATGGTATACCGATAATGTATGTCTATGACTTCAAGTTTCATCTGTCTCCACTATTCAACTCAATACTGTTTCTATGCCATAGAACATGCATGCTCCAGTTCTAGAAGGAAAGTATGTATGCTCTGAGTCTTGCTGTTTGTAGAGATCACCACGTTGTGTCTATGAAGCTGTGATCTGGTGGAGACTTGGAACCCTATCTGTTGGAGTGTGTTGTCTTTCTTGAGGCAGATGCCAATCAAGGAGGCATGCCATGTCGCCTTGCAGAGGAGCCCACCTGGGAAGCAAAGGTTGTGGAAACACATTATGGCGCGGCATGCAGCAAAAGGGTTAGGTGCAAGACCTGTTGTGTGCATTGTAAGATTTTTGTGCCGATTCAGTAACACTATCCTAAAAAGATCATATCAATCTTCGTAGTATTATGGAGCATTGAACAAACGATCTGGGTACATCACTTGCTACTTCCCCACTCACATTTCTGCAACATTATAGTCCTCTGCGTGCTATTCCTGACATTCCTATCGTGCGAAAACTGTCCCCGCAGGTGTCATTTGGGTCTGACAAGGTTAATCGCGCACCAACATTCGACATGGACATATCCGACTTTTTTGATTCCTCTGACGAACCAATAACTTACGAAGCAGCGCACAAGTATTTCGAGCACGATGCTTCTCAGAAGTAAGTTCCCAGATTCGTACCGAAATTCTTGGGCGGTTTCAGAATGCTGTCCAAATGGAATCATCACTGTTTTCCCAATTCGGTTAGTGAAGTTTCTCTCACTTGTGAGTGTAATAATCTTGCGGCACGACAATGAAACACACAGAATGCGTAACATAATTCCTCATAAACGTTTTCCTTCGCTGGAAATTCGCAGCACTAACGCTGCACGATGTGAAATGTTTTTGTACAGATGGGCAGCATATGTTGCTGGGACGATCTTGGTTCTAATGAGAGAGATTGGTGTACGCTTCAACGATAGCATGAGCATACTTGTTCGCTTCTAGACCAATGTCATCACAATAGTCGCATGTCTTATGTTACATCCTAGCTTGATTGAGATTGTTTTTCTGGAAATAAGCCACTGATCCATGCTCATTCGAGCGTTTCGTATCAAGGTTTATACGCGTGGCTTGCAGTACTCACAGATTAAGGTACTCTTTCACTGCCGCAGATATCATCAGCAGTTCCGGAGGGCAAGGGAGTATCATCCTCTGCGGCACTTGAAGTGGCTACCATGAGCGCCATCGCAGCTGCTTACGGATTGAACATCTCGCCCAGGGAGCTTGCGGTTCTCTGCCAGAAGGTTTTCAACAGCCATTCTAATTCGCATTCGTCAATTACTGGATGAATTTAGCTCGGTTGTCGGCATGATTTTGGTTCTTCTGCGAGATGCAGGTTGAGAATCACATTGTGGGAACCCCTTGCGGAGTGATGGACCAGATGGCATCGGCTTGTGGTGAGGCTAACAAGCTCTTAGCCATGGTCTGCCAGGTGAGTTATCTCCCTGAACTGAATTCGAGTGCTGGTTTACAGTGCCTCTTCATTTATATTAGTTTCTTGAAACATGCCACCGTGAGTTTTATGCCAGTTTTATCGCATTTTGGAACTCATTCTTTTCAGTAAGTGACGTTACTTGCTGCTCAATATTGGAAACTTTTGCCGATTGCAGCAAGCAGAAGTTCAGGAGCATGTGAATATTCCTAGTCATGTGCAGTTCTGGGGGATTGATTCAGGCATTCGCCACAGGTGGATACATAAAAAGTTAAATCCTTGTTGATCTTCGTAAACTTGTATATTTATTTTTTGTGATTGTTGATAGGGATTCCATTTCTTGCTCTCACCTCATGCTTCTTGTAAACAGTGTTGGTGGTGCAGATTATGGTTCAGTAAGACTTGGAGCATTCATGGGCCGCCGCATAATACAAGCCAAAGCTTCCAACATTTTGGACAGATTGCAAGTGTCGGGCACTAACGGGGACGCTGACGACGCCGACCTTCACTCTTTGATGCAAGATGCCGAAGAAAAGTATTTGTGTAACATCCCCCCTCACAGGTCACGTTCAAAACCCTTCGTTGTTTGAATTCTGCGCGTAGAGGAAAATCTCAGCTGAATTGAATGAGGGACTCGATACCAAGCAGTTGATTAGATGAGATGTTCTTTCCTGTAGGCTGGAGGCACACTACACAAGCTCATTGCCGGAGACAATGAGAGGGGAGGAATTCACGAAGGTTTATGGCAACCACAACGACCCATTCACAAAAATCATACCGAGCAAATCTTACACCATTCAAGTCCCTGCAGCGCACCCAATATATGAGAACTTCCGAGTGAAGGTTTGCTCTAATAAATTTGCTGCGGATTCAGAACACTTGCAATTAGAAAAAAAATTGTTGTCCATTAGTTTGATCTTGTCTGTTATGTGAATAACAATTGGGTAACGACTCTGCGGTCTTGTGTAGTCCTTTGCAGTGTTGCTGACAGCCGCAGCGACGGATGCTCAACTTGAAGCCCTGGGTGAACTAATGTTCCAGGTAGATGTGTGAACGTGTGCGTGTGGACAAGGATTTGATTTTATTTCAAGTTAAGCATGAGATTATGAGAATTTTCTTGAGACTAATAACTTTTGCTGTGATTATGTGCTGAGGAATCACCCAGTCCCATCACAGCTACTCCAAGTGTGGGCTGGACTCTCATGGCACTAACAGGCTTGTAGCATTGGTGAGGAGAATGAAGCAGAAGGCCAAGCCCGACACAGCAACATTATTTGGCGCAAAAATCACAGGCGGAGGTTGTGGAGGCACAGTCTGCGTGATTGGTCGACCAGGCATAGAAAGCAGCTCAAACATATATGAGGTGTAAATTTTCCGTTTCTCTGTAAATATAAACACATACACACATACTCACTTTAAGTGCATATTCCTGTAACATAAGTAACATTCTGTTGAAGTTGTAACATGTTACATATCATTAATTGTGGACCCATTTGTGATTGGCATTGTTTGTCACTGAAATATTTTTGCGTCTCTATTTTTGCGTCTCCACAGATACAGAATAGTTACAAGGCATCCACAGGTCATCGTCCATATGTATTTGAAGGATCCTCCATGGGAGCAGGGAAATTTAAATTCCTTCGCGTTCATCGCCGAAGCGCGTCAACCTGATAGCAGGATTTGGTCTTCAGGATTAGAACCAGCAGTCAGACAAAATATAACCCATTTCTGTTCTTCACGCGGCACTTAATGAAGGCGGTAGCCCAGAAAATAATTCACATCATGAAGCAGTTCTGATATTTTGTAACCTCCTTGACCTAGCACACTGGGCTCTAAAGTTATTTATTTAGTCAATATTGTAAAACATGATTACGACACAAAGGCATGTTGCATCCTCTAACCATTGTTTAGTCTACAACATTGAGAGAAACAAAAAGAAAAAAATATATTTTCATTCATGATTCAATGTTCCAGCACCAATCCTATCAATCTGAACTTTTTCCTGCCAGTGACGCAAAACCACTCAGATATTTCACAGTCCAGAAAGACCAATTACCTTGTCCCTTTCTGTGCACCCAAACTTGCAATCGCAACGGACACTCAAAAGAGGAGAGATCCCCATGCAAGAATAAATGACATGCCTCCAAATGGGGCTGGCTTATTGAGCTTGCGATTTTCAGTCAGTGCCACGACATACAACCTACATGACTGGAGTATCCATTTTTGGTATTTTTCTGATAACTTCATTCGCATTGATCACAAAACAAGATTATGCAATTAGCGAGAAATTCTATGGACATACCCAAGAGTAAAACCGAAAAGATTCAGCGGCGAAGTTGAACCAAAATGCAATTTAAAAGCACACCACACACACTCTCAAGTTTTAGAACAGGTGGCTTACGTCCCCGAGAAAGCTGCAATCCCGAACGTCAGAAGACTTCCAAACTGCACCTGAAATCACCCAGTTAATGATACACCCAATACCTCTACATGGAAATTTCGGATACAATATAATGCTTCCCCTCGAGCTATCTCAGAACATTAAATTAGGCGTTGTGGGAAGAATGTGGAGCGTTCTTGGAAGCTGAGAACTTACCAAATGAGGGCGCTTAGTGTAAGGAGCAACAAGAAGGGCTGACGTATGAACTAGGTGATACAGGTTGCCTGTCTGCCACACCTGCCATGCCTCGAGGCACCAAATCATAGGTAAAGCGTCCGTGGAGCACAACTGTATCGACATTACAGATGATCACAGATGATTCTCTGCATGCTTTAGCTTTGAGATAGGAGTGAATTGATTACATCATAAGAATCGGTAACAGTGATCATTAAACGAGTTAATTTGGTCCTGCTATGAAGAGGTTAAATTTGTGGACTCACAGTTTTGTAAACCGGATCTGTCGGTTTGAACCCATGCGACCCAAATGTGCCAGCTACTATAGCTGTAATACCTGTGAATGTCCAGCATTTCGCCTTCATTCTGGATGTTGAAGATGATCTCTCTACTAGATTAAGAGCAACAGCCCAAATGGAAAAACCTAGCGACAAAATCAAAGTTTCTTCACGATTCACGAATCTAAAAACAGATTTCAATTGACGGTCTCAAGTTCGATTGGAAGCACAAAAAAAGTAAACTCAAAAGCCACGATATCCCCGATGCATTGCAGGTTCATACCAGAGATCGCAGCTACTTTGTGCCACAGAAAAGCTGCCATCGATCTTGTTGATCAACGCATGTTCCAATGAGTCACAGCAGAAAACCCAAACCCCTCAACACAAATGCGTTCCTCAGAGTTGGTCAAGACACCATCACAAATCTTAGAAGCATGGGTGAGTTACTAAATCCTAAACCCGGACCAATGCTGAATTTGAGTGTGAATGCCTCAATTCGGCACCACTGGTATTCTTTAGCCATCTTTATCCCTACACGTGGCTTTGAGCCCTCCCACACAAGCCGCGGTCGTGGTATGCTCACTCACGATTCCGGTAAGCAACTGTGTCAACTGAGAATATTATCTTGATCTTCTCTGCCAGTTTTCTCAGAGTGGAAGACCACTGATTGCGCCGCAATTAGGTGTAGGCATTGCGTAGTGTTAGCGTTATCCTCGCAGTGGTAAAGACAGACACGTAGTAGCATTACAAGGGGTGAAAGGGAGCTTGAAGGCAGAAATTGCAAACATGGAGAATGTGACTTCGAAGTGCGAGGGTCCGAGGAGGGGTGTGGATTATGAGGAGGAGGTGGAGATCGAGGGGGTGATGGATGGAGAAGGTGTCAGGTATTGGGAGGAAAGAACCAGGGTGTTGAAAGAATCAGGTGCGGACGCAAGATCTGTGAAGCATATCGGGAAAGAGAAACCAGTGCGGGAGGACGAGGGAGAGGGGGAGGGGAAGAGAGCATCAGGAGACGAGTTCTTGAAGGAGGTGATGGAGGCGGTGCGGCTCACACGACAACCGACCCCCTGGATGGTCCGGCGGGAGAAGCTGGTGAGAATCATAAAGCACGACATGGAGAGGATGAACTCAAGACCCGGGAGCTTTGTAGCGGAGAGCCTGCGCTACAACCAGAACTTGGCAAGAGCGTATCTGCGCTTCGGCTTACAAAGATGCCCATCGAAAGACGAGCTGGCGATCCGAGAGAATCGCATGCTGCGGAGGAAGATGATGATGTTGAGCCAAGAAGAGTAGTCACCAAGAACCCAAACATCAATCGAGTGGAAACCCGCACAACACAAGGTCAGGGTTAGTGCGACCCAACAACATGACCTCTCATGCTTATCCAACATCCACTTCACTTGCAATCTTTGCCAAGCAACCGCACTGCGCGAGAAAAGCTTCGAACCTCGCTAATACCCATGTCAATGAAATGACTCCTTCACAACTACAACAGCGGCTGCATGCTTAGTGGCTTTAGATCTCAAGTGGGCTTTCTTTCCATCGCCGTTACAATAAAGCTAGACTTATATGCTTTTGAACCCCTCAAACACAACCTCAAAGAAAGAAAAGTATTCTACCTGGGTTCATGTCTGCTTTCTTCACCGAAACTGTCGCTCTCAACTGAGCATCTTTCGGTAAAGTGGTGTCTCTGCAACGTCGTAGATTGATTCATCTTTTGTTACATTCCTGGCAGGATTAGTGTTGCGGTTTCAAGGATTCATGTCAAGCAGACTTCTTTCTTCTTCCTTTGCTTCATGCATGCTTGTTGCAAGAGTGTTTGTTTCAAGCAGCCATTGAAGCATAATCCTGCAAACTGTTTGCAGAGGCAAGTACGGAGGAGCAAGAGAGAGCAGAGCAGAAAAGCCTTATGAATGCTTGCTGGCTAAGCTCTGGAGCAGCATTGCAAGAATGGGTACAGTCATTGGAACAAAGCCTCACGTGCACATGCGCATGTGATGACGTATTTGCGAAGAAACGATTTTGTGAACAAAACCATGAATCATGACTGTGTGAATATGAATTTACGATATATTTATGTATGTATGCATGTAAATATATAAATCTATATATATATATATATATATATTTATTTACTCAGAATGTTTTTAGCCTATTGTGGTGGGAAAACAAAAGATTTGTATAGATATAATAAAAAAACATTTATACAATATTTCATTTTTATTAGCTATTTTTTAGCTATAAGCTATCATTTTAAAGAATACAACACCTTAAAATCATATATATATATATATATATATATATAGATGTATATAGAAATAAAAGTGTCTTTATGTATATTAAATCACATTCATGACTTTCTAATTAATTAAATTCAAAGGTCATAATACAGTTTGTACAAAGTTCTTATTATAGATTATTTATTTTCTTACTACGGTTAAAAAAGAATCATGAAAGATATAACAATAATAATAATAATCATATGAATATTATTACATAGAATGTATATATTTTTTATCTACTTAAAATCTTCCACAATTATATTTTGTAATCATGAAATTAACAAACCTCAAATGATTTTATAATGTTTTATAATAATTTTTTTTTGCTTTTTTTTCAATAAATACTATTGAAATTGAATTCATGTGGATTGAAACACCTATATATAAACTTCTTTAAATATTTCAGATATCAAATTAGAAGTTGAGAATATTTAAATATCTAATCTTTGTTTAACAATGATTCAATAAATAATCTCTTATAGATTTAAGTGATAATTTTATAACTATCTTAATATTATTTTAAAAATTATAGCCATGTGTTTTGTAATGCATGTAGTCATTTGAATTGGGCTATCCTTGCAAGTTCTTAGATATCTATTTTAACCTATTATTACTATTTTTACTACAAACATATAAAGCCAATCAAAGAGCCAAGCAACTGATGACATTGACACCACATACAAGAGCTTAGCCTCTAATAAGGAACTTCAAATACTATCATGAATACGCACAATATTGCAACAACATATTATTTCTACTTATTATAAAAACAACTTCATTCCTTTATCTTCAATACTTCCTCTCCATGGTGGATACTTCCAAAATTTCTACCCCTCAATATGAATACACCACATATTTGCATACTATGACTAATCTTTGTTTGCAAATCTAACAACTTCTACCTCAATTAATGATATTGATAGTGCTGCACACAATATGCTATAACCAACAACTTCAAACAATTTGTAATTAATTGTTCAAAAGTTGATACAAACAATACATACATACTTATCAAATTAGAATGAGTTTATTAATTGAATACTTGGACACATATACTATAATTATATAGTATAAATATAGTCCTAACAAAATACATACTACAATATTTATTGATGTCAATAGACCACCCTTATATTCTCTACACCAAGATACTTGGATATGTGAATAGTGCTATTATACAAACAAAGATGAATGAAAAGAGTATGGTAATCTTATAAAAGGTGAAGCTCAAAGATACTAGTAATGAAAGATTTGTAGATATGATGTTAAGTTTCCATCATGTAACTAGTGAAGTTTTAACTATTGTGTTTCTAATGTTATTGCAATGAAATGAGTAATTTGACTGAGATACGTGAGATGACATTGTGCTTGTAAGTGAGCATTCTAATTTTTGCTCTACTCATAACTATTCTTTAGTGGATGTTGGACTTCTTATTGAATGTATCAATTTGAGCAACATTTTCTTCTAAGAAGCATTTAGCTTCCAATAAAAATTAAAGAACAGTTGATGACACTCCAAGATTATAGTTAGATTCAAATGGTCTTCAAAGATTGTTGTTGGAAAGTCATATAGAAGTTAAATGTGATTCACAAGTACATATAAGATATTATACCATGAAACGTGAATTCTAGCTAAAAATATGCAAGAATTGGGTTGAATATGAGAAACAAATCAATGGATGCATCAATACTAATTTTTACAATTTCAGGGATATAGAAGAAGGAAAAAACTACAAAAAAAAATCCTAGTTATTTTCTAGTAGATTTACGTTTTTTATTCTAAGCTTGTTCTATAATTTAGTAAGCCTTTGTTTTTCTAATGGCTTTGTAAAGAAATCTACAATTTGATTGCAGATTTGAACATAAAAAATATTTATTATTTCTATGAAAATATTTACTTTAACAAAGTGAAGCCATAGCTCTATATATGTCATGGCCATAATCATGTAAGCTAATAATTACATATAGAAATAGGTAGAAGTAAGTAAAAGTAGATAAAAGTAAGTTAATTATATAATATTTAATATAGAAGCTTCTTAGAAACTTCCTAGACGCTGCTTTGACTTCATAGGTGTCTTTAATTGACTTTTTGGATTAGAAACGTGGTCAACAAGTTGGCCATGTGCCACACATGTTGTTAGCTTGAAGATCAAGCTAACTATGTGGCCCACACGTAGAAAAACTTGCCTTATAAGTCAAGGCATGTGTCCTACAAAGTCAACACATATTGGAGGTCCTATAGAACGTCGCCACGTAGCCCCTAGTTAGATAGTATATATAGAGACAAGAGTGAAGGCTTCTTCACTCTTGTCAACTCCTTTCTTGCTTCTAGTCCAGGTTCAAGAGTCTTTAGTTTCTTGTCTTGTGGCAATAGCCATTCTAGTTTCCTTTTAATATACCTACTTGTTTATATTTTGACTTATTATATCGAGATAGCCTTTTGGTGTATATTTTTTCTCATCGAGTCTTTGTCCTTGACAGATTGACAAGAGTACACTTACAATATTAGAGCTTTGTTTTTTCTTGAGTAAGAGTGGATTACCCCTTTCTCTTGACAAGACATAAGCGTATTAGAAATTTGCGGATTACCCACTTCTAAACTGATATTGTTCTTAGTATCTTCTTTGTTATCAAGTCTTTCTTTTCTTTTGTCTTGAGCAATATCAAACAAATTTTTCTTCTTAGTGTCATTATGGCAGAACTTGTTGAAATGAAGAGTGCAATGGCACAAATGCAAGAGCAAATGAGGGAGTTAATGCTTGCGATGCATCAACTCAATTCACCAACACATGAAAGAACAAGAATAGCAGAAAGTGGAGATATAGAGATGATCGGAGCTGCTTCAACATCTACAACAAATCACGTTCATTCTCCAATTGTACAACACCCTATAAGCACTAGAGAACCAAGAATTGCCTTACCTGAGAAATTTGATGGTACGAGATCAAAGTTTCGAGGGTTCATCAATCAAGTACAATTGGCAATTGAACTTCAACCGCAAAGCTATCCAACTCCAGGATCACAAGTCAGGTTTATTGGCACTCTACTTTTTCGTTCTGCATTATCGTGGTTTTCGTCTTTTCTTGAACAACGAAATCCAATATTGGACAATTTGGAAGCTTTTTTGGCGGAGTTTCGATCTATGTATGGTGGACACGATGCAACTCGTGTTGCAACAAATAAGATCCGAATTCTGCGACAAGGAAATCGCTCAGTAACAGTATATGCTTCACAATTTCGACAACTTGCAATTGACATCAAGTGGGATGATGCTGCACTCATCAGTCAATTTCTTTATGGATTGCAATACGAAGTAAAGAAATTGATGCTCAACTTACCTGATCCTCAAACTTTGAGTCAAGCAATCGATTTTGCGATAAAATGTGATAATCAACTTTTTGAATTTCGATCTGAGAATCATTCACGAGAACCTCAACGTTATTACTCAATGGCAACATCAACATCTTTGCCAAACGTACATTCGGAAGTAGAAGACATGCAAATTGACGCGGTACGTTTTAAACCTCTAACTGAGCAAGAAAAGATTCGTCGTCGTCAAGAAGGATTATGTTTATATTGCGGAGAACCTAAGCACACTGCTCAACATTGTCCAAAGAAACGACGCAACTATAAAATGAGGGGTACGACAGTCAAAGAAGACAACATGTCGGAAAACGGATTCGTCCAGCTACAATAGGGACCGTGCAGCTGGAACCTTGTACAATTCCTAATGAAGGTCCTATCCTCTCCTCAGAACCCTCTCCTTGTTTTATAATAGACTTATATTTAGGACCTAAGAATTACAAAGCCTCTGCTTTATTAGATTCGGGAGCCTCAGCATGTTTTTTAGATGAACAATTTGTTAAAAGTCCTAAAATACCCTTTGTACAGAAACCTAAACCAGTACATGTAGAAGTCATAGATGGTCGTCCCTTGTCTTCTGGAGATGTCACTCATGAAACTCATCCTATAAAAGTAACAATAGACGGTCATGATAGCTACATAGCTTTTAACATAATTAAATCCCCGTCCAATCCAGTTATTTTAGGTTTATCCTGGCTAGAAAAATATAACCCTCGAATAGATTGGAATTCGCGTAAACTTGACTTTTTCAAAAGCGTTATTAATAGTTCTACGAACCAAGTAAAAAATTATAAGTCTAGTATAGTAAAACCCGTACTGATAGGTGCAAAAGCATTTATACACGCAGCAAAAGAAGGATCAACTTTTGTTATTTATGCTGCACCTATTTCTGAAAACGTAAAGACTTCAAGTGGCATTCCAAGTCAATATCAGGAGTATCAAGACGTTTTTGAGAAAAAGAATGCAGATATTCTTCCTGAGCATCGTCCATATGATTGTTCAATCGACCTCAAGAAAGGAACTCAGCCACCATTTGGACCAATTTACAGTTTATCGCAAGATGAGATGGCTGAACTCAAGACATATATTGACGAGAATTTAGCGAAGAATTTCATACGCCATTCAAAATCTCCAGCAGGAGCTCCAATTTTATTCGTAAAGAAAAAAGATGGATCTTTACGAATGTGTGTTGATTATCGAGGACTCAACAAGATCACAATCAAGAACAGGTATCCATTACCTTTGATATCAGGACTCCTTGACCAGTTGAATCAAGCTAAGATCTATACAAAAATAGATCTAAGAGGAGCATATAATCTAGTACGGATCAAAGAAGGAGATGAATGGAAGACTGCGTTTCGAACCAGGTATGGACATTTCGAATATAATGTCATGCCCTTTGGACTCACGAATGCACCAGCTGCTTTTCAACATCTCATGAATGATGTATTTCATGAATTCTTAGACAATTTTGTCGTCTGCTACCTAGACGAT